GGACTGGTTTGGGTTGTATGTCACCAGGCTCAATGTCTTTTGAAGTGTGTACTCAATACACATTTAAATAATCTGCTTTTAGTCATCATTTGTATGTATTACTTTCATTGTTTTCCCATTACTTGATAGTGTAATTTGAAATCAATACACTGGACACTTTCACCTGCACTATATGAGGTCATAATCTATACAAAAGCATAACATGCACATATTGCTTGTTAAAGTCAAAAGTCAAAAATATTGGGAAGCAGTGTTCTTTTTAGCTAAATGTTTTTTTTAAAAGTGATGGAAACTTTATACAGAAACGTTTGGCTTTTAGCTGCTTGTGCAAACCTCTGAGGCATCTTGCCATCAATATGTCAAATTACTTTGTGTTTGAAAAAGAGAGACATAACAATGAGTGTGACAGCCATAGGAAAAGACAGACTGAATATCCATGCTTCACTTTGTCTGTAGCATAAATTCACTGAGTAACTGGCGGTATCCAAGCTGCTTAAACATTCAGAGCTTTGTCACTGATGGTAAATTGCCACTTCTCAGCGAGTAAAGACTGTGCGAGTATCTACAGTAGATAATAACAACAAGACAAACGAAAACTATTCATCTGTTAAAAGCTAGCACTTGTTAAAATGAAGTGTCTCTGTTGAGATAAGAAATGGTTTCCACAGAGATCTTACAATGTGTGCAAACCAAACGTGATTTCACTATCATCTGCTTTTTGTTATCTGATCATGATGCACTGTTTACCTCCCCTTGTGTTGTTCCTGTCTTGTAAACAAACCTATGAAATACACCTTAGAAAAGAGCACAAATAAGTTGTCTAGCATGCAAGCCATCCTTTATTGAAAGCAAAGCCACAAAGGACTGAAATACTGCTCCTCTGATGACAGTAAGCTGATTATTTAAATTATACGTTTATGTGTAATTACACAATATCAGAGCCGCAGCAATAAAAACCTTTCAGTAATTAAAGCGTGTAAAAGCACCGTGTGGCCAATTTTCACCAGAGAGCACACATTAGCACATCAAATTGAATATGGTCACTTTCCACTTTTCCGCATTATGTGTTATTGACATGAGCTATTCAGAATCACTCTTTCAAAAATCCTTCTTTGATTGTTGAGATGAAATTAGATGCAGCTCTAATGAAAATTACTCTATTCACTCCAAACTGAGTAGACTTTCAAAACAGGGGATTGAACTACTCTAAAAAAGCATTCACCTTAAAAGAGGGGACAAAATAAATATACCATTTACTGCACTGATACAAATGATCCTCTATTACAGAGCCTCAGTGTTTTTGGTTTAACTTCAATAATATTCACAATCACTGTCTTCAATGTTTCTGAATACAACATATATCATATTTCCAATGGAGATTTGTTGCAATGCTGTCATTCACATGCTTTTAAAACTGTGTCTCTCAAACTACTTGTTCTGTCACACTCTTGGAAATAACACTACACACAAATACAGGAAACCATATTGTAAGCCTTAATGGATTTGTTAAGAAATAGTGAAAATAAGCAGCCCTTTAGAATGAACGAAAAGCAGTGCAGTGATTGGTTGTAAACAAAAGATGGTTAAAGCGGTGAGTCTGCATTTAATCAGCCCCCCTCATCACAGCTGCACTATCTGGACAGTACAGATAACGGTATAGTAAAACAAAGCTAAACAAAAGGTTAGCTTCATCTATTATTTATAAAGTCAAAACTTGGATTTACACTCAGTTGTGTTAATACAGAACCAAATCTGCTGCAGTAATTAAAATGACGCATTCTAATACAACTGACTGATGCCCTTTACAGACATGTCATACATAACTTCATCTATCTGTGAAATTATAGATTTCTATTATTTACACGTGTCTTTTGACATTAACCCTCCTATTTCCTTCGTTTCCCCCCCTTACTTTGGTGTTCGCGGTCAAATTTGAGACAAAAACCGTTAATCATCACCAAATGTCATTTAACACCCTTTCAAACTGTAAATATTGTATCAGACTACTGGTATACATGAAAAACTGCAGTAAATATACAAAGAATAGACACCGAACATGTATTGCGTGTGCCAGGTGTGATCCATGTGGGGGGATGGGCACATAAGAGCAGGAAATGTGTCAAATTGTTCTGTGTGTGTGTGTGTGTTTGCATGTGCCAGGTGTGATCCATGTGGGGGGATGGGCACATAAGAGCGGGAAATGTGGTCAAATTGTTCTGTGTGTGTGTGTGTGTGTTTGCGTGTGTGTTTGTGTGTGCCACTGCCAGGTGTGATTCACATGGGGGGATTGGGCACATAAGGGGGGGGACACATCTAGAGTATGTGTGTGTGTGTGCGTGCGTGTGCATGTGCGTGTGCGTGTGCGTGTGCGTGTGTGTGTGTGTGTGTGTGTGATCTGATCCAGATGGTTACTAATTCCTTTTCTTTATGGCGGTCATTTTTGACCGGGAACACCATGGGTGTTACACAGTTGACTAAATCCTCCAAAATTCAACGAAAGTGGTGATCAGCAATTGCATATGTTCAAATGTCTACTGTGAAGGATATCATAAAGCCTTAATGCAATCGAATGTAAAACAAAAAAAGTTATGATTGATGAAAGTAGTAAATCGGTCAGATTTGACCCGAAGACAACAGGAGGGTTAAAGAGGCTCTATGCTTTTTTGGCGTTTCTCCCATTCCTGTAGTGTGTTGAACATTTGTGTGTGCATGTAAATGATCTGCAAAGGCTAAAATCCCAAAGTTCCCTCCAGAGCGAGTTTCTCTCCCACACACAAAATCCCAAAACAAACCTGAAAATGAGCATAATGTGTCCTCTTTGATGCAAGTTCAAATTGTTTTGATGGCTAATAGTGAGGCTGTTTCCTGTTCTCTCAGTCTGCTTCTCCGATGCATTTGGAAACAGATTATGTCGTTGGAGTCTTGATTAGGATCATTGTTGTGAGCGTGAGGGACATCTTCGCTTCTCAGTGAATCCACTGATATTTTGATAATGATAATGAATCAATGTCACGATCAAGGTTTTTATCGAGTTCATTTTACTCCCTTTTTAATAAAATGCGACAGTTCACATGCATTGAATGATAGGATATTAGGGTTAGTTTGATCACTTATTAGGCGCATTCACACCGCAGTACTTTTCCCACAAAGGTTCATGAGAACTTAGTTCATGAGAACTCTTTAGTTCTCATGAACTAAATACAGATCGCGTTAACACCGGAATAAGTTCCTGGGGGAGGATTAGGCAAATGAAGTCGCTGACGTCACTTCTTCTTCTTCTGCTTTGGGTTTACTGGCAGGCCGCAAACAACTTCACGGCGTATACTGCCACCCGAAGTTCAGTAGAAGCTGCTGGGACTCCCAGCAGCTTCTACTGAAGCCTTCCGAGTAAATCGCCAGAACGCCGACACTCCACCACTCCCATGTTTTCTTTTGTGTTGCCATAAGTTAGTCTCTCTGCGTTTGTGCGCTGAGCTAATGCTAATGCTAATAATGCTAATGCGAGGATAATCAAATGGCGGCTTCACAAAACTTTTTTGGAGTTTTACGGGGCGTGGTTTGCAATCCGCCCAGCCAATCAGAAATAGGAACCTTTTTCTCCCACGAAAGTACCTGCTCTCTAGCAGGGACGCAAAAGGGGGTAAAAAAGGTTCTGATGAACTAATTTTAGTTCCGGCTCTTTTTGGTGTGAACGCGACATTTCGGAACTATATCGGAACTAAAGTGGGCAAAGTACTGCGGTGTGAACGCGGCTATTGTAACATGCTGTGTGTAAGGCGTTATGCTGGACGTTGTTTTATCCATCCATGGATTTGAATCGAAAATCTGTCAGATTATTTTCAACTTCTTTTGCCTCAGTCACACCGCAAGGGAGAAAACAGCAGGGTGCATATTCAGACATGAGAACATGTTAAATTGCCCTTAGATCAACATACAGGTGCATGTTTTTCTACTTACACTACTTTAACAGATTGAAACTTAACTTAACTCAGTTCAAAGTTTCCTGCTGTCACTCTTTCTGCTCAACCTAACAGGGTATTGGCTAGAGAAAAAAAGCGTTACGCTGATAATTGAAACCTTGCTCCTTGTTAACACATTTTCAAAGTTTTAGAACAACCCCAGCTATGATTAATATACACCTGTCATAACTAATTACATTAATGCTGAAGAATGATCAGGCCTGTCTTGCTGTGTCTTCTACTCCCCCGCTAACCACTCCATCACGCCCTGCACTTGTGATGGATGTGAGGTGCCACGTGACTTTGTGGGGATAAACACTAAGAGTTCACATAAACAAGACCTGAGAGAGCTCCCGACCTTACTGAAGCGTTTTCCCAACTTATATGGAGAAATATTTGCTTAGAAAGTTTAACTAATTCTTCAGGATCTTTACATCATGATGCAGAGGAAGGCAAAGGCTGTTCTCTACTGCAAGTGAGACAAATGAGGATTCATGACAAAAAAATGTCTCATTTAATAATGTTATCAGTGATCGACAGACCATTATGACACAAGGTAGCACATTTCTGAGATTCTGTGACTTTTCGCCAATCTTTAAATAGATGAAATATTGTTAAAACAAATGATGGGTTCACAATTGAGTAATCAAGCCTGTTGAAAGGCTTTCATTTCCTTGATTTTAGCAATCACTGTTTATTTCTTGCATTTTTGACAGTGGATCAGTTGTATTGTTCTTTTACGTTCGTCATTCAAATTGAATATTCTAGTCTTGATTGTCTCTCATGATCACAATGACTAAGCCATCAAAATACATGATGGGAACTTTTATAAAGTAAACTCACTCAGCCATGTCCTGCAGTATTTAGGAATCTTTCAAGTATGTAAGGCAACGCAAAGCAAGTTTATCTATATAGCACCTTTCAACACATGGCAATTCAAAGCGCTTAACAAAAATGAAAGACATTAAGAAAATGGCATTTAAAAACAATCATTCAAAAGCAATGTATATTCATGAGTTGTAATATCTGTTTTTCTTTTAGACCATGAGCGGATCGGGAAGGACTCATCCTACGAACAAGAGGGGAAGGTTCAGTTTGTGATTGACGCGATCTATGCCATGGCTCATGCTCTACATAACATGCACAAAGACCTCTGCCCTGGGAAAGTCGGCCTTTGCTCAAAGATGGAATCCATCAACGGCACTCTGCTGCTCAAGTACATCCGCAACGTCAACTTCACAGGTAGGTACTCAGAATCCAACAAAGAACTGCATGCACGTACTGTATGTAAATTGGCAAGTACTCTGATAAATATACAGTATATGGTAGAATAAGAAATGGGTGTAACAAGCTTGGGTACACAATGGCCTCCAATTATCAGGCTACTGAATGTAAATTACTCCCAGCAAGTATAAGAGGCAGAGATCCGTAGGAGGGTGACAATCAGCAGCAGAACAGCGCGTTTTATCGTAGTTGATGATGTGCAGGAACGGTCCTTTGTGAGATTTCCCGCCTTATCTTGTCAGCATTGAATTGCCCACGCAAGAGATCTCCTGCTTGAAGTGCACTGGCTACGGATTTAAAATTGTACATAAATGAGAAGGGGGAAGAGAGTTACCGCACAGAGCCATCAAATACAGGCATAGATAGTTTCCCTTTCCCTGTGGCTGTTCTCTGTAGACTCAAAATACATGTTTTAGTGTTACTATCAAATACAGTGGGTTGTCTTTCTCGAGTCACACAAAAAAGCATCAGCTGAACACCTTCAAACTATTTAATGAGCCAAAGTTTCAACATGACTTCCTGTCTACCCTATGTTCATCTAGCTTCTGCAACTTAATGCAACCCCTTCTGAGCATTTCTTTATTCAGTTTTCATGTTGTAAGACAAATTGGCATTCACCACTAGAGATAGACCAATACATAAGGGAGGCTGTTTATTCATATTTATGGTAAATGGTGTATATACTGTATAGGCTGATTAGTAACAAGACATTGAAATACAGAAATTCCCAAACAAGGTTTGAAGCAATAATAGTTCGACCACCACAGAACACTGACGTCTTGATCTTTGAACTGTAAGATTTTTTGATGGCATCTGCATACAGTATATATTGTTATGTGACAATATATCCATATCAGAAATATTAACAAATCAATATTTACATCAGTATCTGCCTCAGCATACAGTTTAATTGAAGTTTGTGATTTTAATCCTGCTGTTATGAAAAGATGCCGCCAATGGACTCCTTTGTCTAACCATCATCTGTATTCTGCTGTTTTATCATAACAATGCAAAAGCCCTTTCTAGCATGAGTGTGCCATTGTAAGCAGAGAAAAGGCACCCTATTATGTACCATCCGTTGACCATTTCTTCAGGAAAATAACAACTTTAACATTTAAATACCAAACAAAAACTGAGTGGATTGCACTTATGCTCTTTTACAGTTTCTCTGTGTGTGTATAGTGCCTATAGGGTTTACATAGTATTACTAAAGTCTCCTTAGTTCATTTCTTTGTGGATTTTGTACAGCAGAAGCTTTGTAGTTTCATTGTAACTCTTAAGCTTAATATAGTAATACCTTGTTTTTATATTAGATTGCTGTTGTTTACAGTATAAACACATGAATACTTATGCAAATTAAACATTATCACAGCAAGTAAGATGCACATTGAATAGAATTCCTTTAATGACATTGCATGAGGTACAACAAAATAAAATACCAATGCTGACGGTGTATACACATACATATAAAAAGTAATAAAGATAAGAATAAAAAGAGAGATATATGAAATATATATAAAAATAATTTGTATTTTCTGTTCCCTCTAAAAAATAGTGAGATGCAAGGAATGTTTGCTATGCCTCTATAAGTAATACATATGGAAACAAATACGTACAAAGAAATATTAGACGCACTTGCGATGTAAACATATGGGCAATTTTTGATATAAGGTAAGAAACTTTCTAAACTTTAGTTAATTATAAGCTTATAGGTTCAAAGAAAGTATTTGTATAAGGAGGTCATGTAAGCAGCATGTGCTGGTTTCTTTTAAAATAACACAAATGTATGCAGACTCAGGTCAGCGTCAGCAGTTACAACTTGAGTTAATTATACGTCGGATCAGAAGAGGGTCAAAGTGTTCATGCAATCAAGCACGATCTAATGCGAGCAGTTTGACACAATCTCAAAGCCCCTCCACCCTCACAGATGATTATAGAGGAAAGGATGCATTTATTGGTATGACAATTACAGGGGGGGGGGGGGTCGTGGGGTGAGGGGGTGTCACACCACTGCAGGTACACAACAGGAATACTTTAAAACAAAGGAACTTCTGGATGAAGTAAAACACTGCTGCTGAATTCAGAGTTTATTCCCAGCATCAGTGATACTGTGTGGCTAATGAACACAACTGGGGGTGTTAGAAACTCCTACTGGTTCATCCATTGTGTAACCCTAGCGTGCAGTGTGGGGGTTGCATACATTTCAACTGCACTGTTCTGGAGAAAAGTTTTATTATAGTAGTATTGCTTAAATGCCATATAACTTATTTTGTTTATGCCTAGTTTGGATAAATATGTAATGTATTTGACTAAGGGGCCTTATTATGCTTTTTGGGTTTTCCCTTTCCTGCTGAGTGTTATAGCTTTTTGTGCATGTAAATGGTCTGTTCAAATCCCAAAGTTCCCTCCAAAGGGAGTTCCCCACCCCACCTCAATTGGACTCCTTTGTTTACTTCTGTAACACCATCAATACGTAAAACTCGGGCTTCTATTGGCTAGCGCTCCAACACATTGTACGTGATAAGGGGGCGAACTCCTCTAAGTGGTTGACCAATTCTGAATTCTGTTGTTGTTTGATGAAGGCACACGGTATCTTGCAGCCTCAAAAGGGCAACAGAGGAGGGATGGCAGAAACAATGAGAAGCTTTGTTGTTAAACTAATTAAGGCTGCATTAGAAAATGTACAACACCATTAAAGGAAAAGGCATGATGTGTCATTTACTTCCCCAGAGGTGGTTTGGTTTATAGATTACGTAGTAAAGAGAGAAGGCAACATGGGTCTGACTTAAATATGGGTGCATTATTTTAATAATGTAGTCAACATAACCTTTATTGTTCGGGATATTAAAGGTGAACCTGACACTTTGTTTGCAGCGGTTGGTTTTCATCCCTAATGGATATTGAAAAGAAAGTCTGCAGCACTCAGTGTTTTATTGTAGGCCACATCTTCAAAGCCCAAACAGAGTGTACCTGCTCTCAGTGCGCTTATTATGCAAGCAGGTCAGTTGAATGAAGATGTTTTCTGGAGTCATATTTGTTTTGATTTAAAATATAGAGCAATTTCTCAAGCATTGGAGTAAAGCTTTAATATGAAGGGAAGTTTAACAGCTGGTGATACAGTATTGAATCTTAAAAATGTTTACACGGATTTATGCGGATCATAAATACTTCTAAATAGACTGGAAAATTAGGTTAGCTGACGTTTAGTGCTTATCTTGATTCTAAAACAACACATCAAGAATCATTGATGAGGATTTAAATGTCAGTGGTGATTAAAGCTGCAACAGAATAAGTATCTTGGCATCCTAAAAATACAAAGATGATAAACTCATTCAAAATGCTGCAGATAAAATACTGACAAACACTAAGGAAGGAGAACACATGTCATATTATCATATTAGATCCCTGCACTTGCAGAACAGAATTGTTTTTGAGGTAAAGTCACTTGGCCCAAAATATATATAAATAGCCGATATGTTTGCTGGGTGCAAGTCAGGTAAGTCTGCAGGGACGAGTGAGCTGGTGTTCGCCAGAGTTCAATCAAAATGTGATTAAATCAGCTTCCCTATGAACTAAGATATGCCCCGACTGTAGCCATTTCTTTATTAAAGTATAAAGACTTTCCAATTGTTTCTTTATCAATTTTCTTTCAAACCTTTCTATACTTTTAATTGATCTTATGCCACACATATCTTTTCTATCAATTGCCTGTAAAGCACTTTGTCTAAGAAAAGGTGCTGTATAAATAAACGTTCCTTGCCTTGAAGTATAGCAGATTATAGAATTAAACTTCACTTCTTTATGCATTCCTTCATACCCAGTGTTATGTTACTGGATGGCTCGTCAGCACTGAAGTCTTTGAGCTTAGTACAGGCATGGCTAAAAAAATAAATCAATGCTGTACATTACCGGATACTGCCTTGCTTTTAAGAGTCTTTCTGCAGAGAATTTAAAAGGTTTGTAGGAAAACAACGGGAATGTCCACATGATTCCAGTATATTCTGGGAATTGTCGACAGATAATCGCTGCTGACTAAAGGAAAGAGGAAACCCAAGCACTACGGATATTGCAGATTAAGATAATACTTATTGATGCATGGTTTTAAGATAGTGATGCTGGGTATATACTCACAAGTGGTACTGAATGGTTGTAAATGCATGTTTTAGAGTGGATGGTTGGTTTTTCAAGGTAATCTAGGAAAACATAAAGTGAGCCTGATAGTAAAGCTGTGAAAATAGTGTGATTAAAGGTTGGCTGTAACATCAGGTTCACACACTGTCAATTAAAGCTGAGGTATGAGGTTGAGCGTTATATTCATTTGGATGTATCACAGGATCATACAGAGCATTATATGGTGTGTTCATATATATCTACTAGATGTATTCCTCTGTTCAGATCAATGCAAGCTATTACAGCAGTCTATGAAAGGATGTCAAATTAAAAAGTGTGTGTATACTGCTTAATAATGGATCTTGCCTGTCCAGGGAACAAGGGATATTAGGCTTCGCAGCAAATTGAGAGGGTACGATACAGTCTGGGAGGATGAAGTATTCCTGAGGTTAGTGTCATAAAAGAGGGAAGGCTGAAAATATAATCAACACTGGCCCTTAACTCGGCCCAATCCAACGACTAATAAACACGTAAGGCTGGGCTTCCATTTACAATAGAAGTCAATTACAGACTCCAGCTGCTCTGAATCTTGGTTCTTTGCATTGAGGCAAAGTACAGTAATTATGTTGTATTGTTAGGGGTGTAGAAAATGCCTTCATCAAAGCGGCATACATGCTTCAACAGGGTACTGTATATGCAGGAATCCTGAAGTCGAATGCAATACCTTTTAAGACCTTTTTTAAGACCCTTTCCATACATTTTAAGACCTCATCGCCACTTCGAGTTTTAACCGGTTACATTGGCGACACACTTTACCTCACATTTACTATATACTGTATTGATTGTCCTTCCTCCTTATCTTCCAACCATTTGGACGCAGACTTGCATTTCCCCATAACGATGTTGTTTAACAACCGGCGTAAACGGACCTTCGCGCGCTATCAAGCAGTGAGCGTGCGATGTCCTGTTCAGATGATGTTAAATCCAACGGGATGCCATAAATAAACTACACAGAATCACAATACACACCTACGCAATGATTACATTCAGGCAGACTGTAGAATACAACCTCTTTGGACAATTTATATACTTATTGAAAACAAGCTACAAAATGTAATATCTTGGAAAATGCTGTTTAATACTTTTTAATAGCCTTAATTTTCGCTAAATTGATTTATCAACTGTTAATACTTTTTAAGACCCCATGGACACCCTGTTCAAACAGCAATATATATTACTTGTTCTGATCAGTTTTTATAAAACATTGCAAACACATTGAATCTTTTGTTGGCATAAGCTAATGGTTTTTAATGGATTAGAGGGGTATTTTATGTTAACTGCAATAGCGACATCATGAAAATGTGTGCTTGGTTTGCATACATTACATTACATTACATGTTAGACGCTTTTATCCAAACCGACTTACATACTCAATACTGTGGGCAATCCCCACAGGAGCAATTTTGGGTGAAGTGTCTTGCCCAGGGACACAACGACATGCTGACTGCAGTGGGGTTTGAACCTGTGCTCCCCTGATCCGAACACCAACGCACTAATCCACTGCGCCACAGCCTCCCCTAAATTACAGAGAAAGGCTTGGAATTTCAACTAGCTGACCAGTCACTGGGAAGATTGAGAAGTTTTTGAGGATCAAATACAATAAAGACACATTTCACAGCCATTGTGAAAACTGCAGTGAGTAAATGTGGATCATGTTTATACATCGGTATGTTCACACACATACAGCTTTAATTCCAAAGAGATATTTATGCAGTGTTTTCCTTAAAAATCTGACCTGGTTAATTAGTATGCAGATTGCTCATTTTTGCTGTCTGCGCATGAAACTTGTAAATGTAATTTTGCAAGTTACGAGGTGAAACTAATCGATTACGGAAATCAAATTAGTAGAAATATACATCCCACTCAATTCCCTGTATTGCTGAGATGGGCAAGAACATTTTCATAATTGCACATGACTGCCTGCTGTTTGCTTAGACATGCCCTCTAGATAATGCAGCAGGATTATACTAATGCAATACATCCCATGGGTTTGATCAGATCTTTGACACACACACATTTGCAGACGGAAATAAACCGGTCTGCTCTGAAAGCTTGACTCACAGGTTTCCAACTTTGACTCAAAGGTTCAATCGATACTGAGACCTATTCAAGGGAACAACACGCTCAAATGAATAATTCCTTTTATTATTATGAGGGGAGTGTAGTCAATACTTGCTGAAAATGAATGACTCCCACCCAAATGCTGGAAAACACACAGTCTGGTGTCTGGACATGATGAATATCCTTTGCACAAAAATGCACTCTTATCTCTTTGAAGTAGCTCTCGGAAGTACTGTACACAACATCCAAATATTGACTGTGGGAAATCCAAAACACATTTTATGCAAGTTAACTAGGGGCATTTTCAGCCTCACTTTTCAACAACCACTACAACATGTTACAGAATTGCTGAGTATTCAGAGACTGTATTGAGGAAGTGAAAACACATTTGGAAGGAGCAAACAGACAGAGATGGGGATGCAATTAATGGCCCTTTGCTCAGAGACACTCTGTGGTGGGCTCTCATCACGAAATCTGTGAATTTCCCGTTCCTTTACACCACATTTAATAACAAGTTGTGAAGCTGGAGAGGGGTTTGTCGGTTGACTCAGAAACAGGAAAGCCGAGAGATGAGAGAGATCTCAAAGTGGTAATCAAAATCAGTTCTGTCATCCGTTAGCAACTCTGGATGGACCGTGTGGATAACAAGCAATCGGGGCAATAAGCAGAATGAAGGAGTGTGAAATGATAAGGGAACATGAGCGGACAGCAGCCCTGACCCTCCTCAGAGGACCAGGACCACGCGGCTGTCAACATCTATTTTGCTCCCTTCATTAACACCATAACAGCATTAGCTTGAAGTCCCCTTGCAGCCTCATTTCATCCAAGAGCATTATGGGAACTGCTCGGGTGTGTACTGTATTGTCGAACACTGGACCTCTGAAACCACAACAACTTTTTATTTTCATCCTCAGGAATTGCTGGCACCCCGGTGATCTTTAACGTGAACGGAGATGCTCCTGGACGCTATGAAATCTACCAATACCAGATCACAAACAACATGACAGAGTACAAGATCATCGGTCACTGGACAGACCAGCTCTACTTAGACGTATGCAGTTTTTAAAATACTACTTTAAATATGTCTTAAAGAATGTATGCTTGACTTTTCCTACAATCAGAGTGCCAGTTTTTGGTGCTGATCATTCACGATTGAGTGTTCCCTTTTCTGGTTGGAATTTAAAACACACAGGGTAACAAATGCTTTTAGTCAATACCGAGGTAGTTGCAAAGTATTAACACTACATTTCCAATCACAATTCTGTCTCCAATAAAGTAATAAAGCCTTTTTTGGCTAATCCTTGTTTTGACAATTGCCATGATACAGGAATACACAATTTTATGTTCAATACATGGAGCAAAGACTCTATATTCTTGTGTGCATTTAAATACAAATATAAATGAACTTTCTGAGGAACAATGCATCCTTATCTTTATCTGAAAAATTGAATATTGCCTATCCATTTTCACAGCCTAACTTACTTTAAAAAGGCCTGTTAAGCTACAAGGTTATACAAATAAATAATGTCAGTTTAACAGGAGAAGGCACATGATGCAGTATTGTTGGGACTGCAGTACCACGCATACTTTGTTTACTTATCTCAGTAAGTGCAACATTCCTTGGAGGTAATTACACAGCAAAGTTGTTTCCTGTTGAGTTATAATTCATGAGTTGACACAATATTGTCTTGATAAAAAGGCTGAAGCTTTCATGTGGTGAATATCCAAATTGACTTTGTTTTTAATTCAATTATGCACTTGTGTGTAAACAAATCCTCCAAGTGTTAATTGAATTGTGTCCTTATGCATTATGTATGAATATGAAAGCGACGGGACAACATGTAGTGAATTGTGTTCTTGTTTTAAAGGTGCTTTTTAGTGCTGATTATGAGCTTGCCCAAATGTGATAATACTGAATAATTGTGAAGTAGCTATGCAACTATTGTGGGTTATGTGAGTATGGAAGGATATGAGTATATTAGAAAAACAGTTTTAGTATGATGGGAGTATTTGGGGACATGAGTATATGAGTAAAACAGTGTTAGTATGATGAGGTGGAATAAACTGGTAGTTTTTGTAATTGTTTTCTCCCTTCCTTCCCTTCTCCCCACAGACGGATGAGATGCAGTGGCCTGGTGCATCACAGGAAGTCCCGTCCTCTATCTGCAGCCAGCCCTGCCGCCTCGGGCAGCGCAAGAAGACGGTGAAGGGAATCCCCTGTTGTTGGCACTGTGAGAACTGTGATGGCTACCAGTATCAGGCAGACACTTACACCTGCAAGATGTGCCGCTTCGATTTGCGGCCTAATGCAAACAACACTGGCTGCGATCCCATTCCCATTGTCAAGCTGGAGTGGAGCTCTCCGTGGGCGGTGATCCCAGTCCTCATCGCCGTCCTGGGCATCATGGCTACCCTGTTCGTGGTCGTCTCCTTTGTACGCTACAATGACACACCCATTGTTAGGGCATCGGGTCGAGAGCTGAGCTACGTGCTGCTGACGGGTATTTTCCTCTGCTATGCTACAACATTCCTCATGATCTCCACTCCTGATGTGGTTATATGCTCCCTGCGAAGGATTTTCCTCGGCCTGGGTATGAGTATAAGCTACGCGGCATTGCTAACCAAGACAAACCGGATCTACAGGATTTTTGAGCAGGGCAAGATGTCGGTCAGTGCCCCTCGATTCATCTCCCCCGCCTCGCAGTTAGTCATCACGTTCAGCCTGATATCATTTCAGCTCCTCGGAGTGTGCATCTGGTTCGGTGTCGACCCGTCGCAAGCCATCATCGACTATGAGGATCAGCGTACATCCAATCCTAAAATTGCCCGTGGTGTTCTGAAATGTGACATATCAGACCTCTCCCTCATCTGCCTGCTGGGTTACAGCATGCTGCTCATGGTCACCTGCACAGTTTACGCCATCAAGACCAGAGGTGTTCCCGAGACGTTCAACGAGGCCAAGCCCATCGGCTTCACCATGTACACCACCTGCATCGTATGGCTTGCCTTCATCCCCATCTTCTTTGGGACCTCACAATCAGCAGAAAAGGTAAATATCCCATATCTAAATAAACATTGAATTTGTATTCCCATTTTTTATTTGGGCACAGATGCCAGAGCAGTCACTTCATCAAATGTATTCACCGAAAAAGAACAAACTAGAAGTGAATTAATTTACTCTTGGATGTTGGCTGTCAGTTTTCCATTTTGAGTTCTTTTATATTTCCTATGTGCCTCATTGTGAAGGAAATGGCCTCTCAAATTATGTTTATTGTAAAGGAACGTCCTCTTGTGTTTGTAGATACTGCCGCTATGCCTCAGTATATGATGGGCTTTGTGCTCCACTGTGGGGACTACAAGGCTTTTAAAGCTGTTACGTGAGGATAATTCATTCACCTCAAGTTTGCTTGGATATGTTTGTGTGTTTGATTCCGCTCCACCGAGTGGAAATACCGAGTAGTCAATCACTGCACATTCAGTCACAAGGAAATAGATAACGGGTATTTTTGAAGTAGCATGAAATGACTGCAGCTGCTGATGTATCTTGTCAGTTGAAAGTGAATCACAAATTGGCTCTTACGAGTGCTAATTTTCAGGTTGCTCAACACAGATGTACATTAAAAAAAAGAGTAGAAAAGTCAAAATACTGATAGCAAAATAATCATGTGAATGCTATGGCGCAGCATAATAAAAAATTATAGCAGCCCCTAGATTTTCCTTAAGGAGTTTCTGTAAAAAAATAAAGTAATGCATTGTGTCTGTAGGTACTAGTCGAGGATTCATGGAGGCAAGTGCCTAAAATCCTGTTTGGCAAAAGAAAACATTTAGATAATAAGATATTTTGCAAATGACTTAAATCCAAAACAGTTGGGTAAAAGGTAGGGTCAAGAGTCTACACAACAGATGTAATGCCTTATACTTCCAAAAAGCTTGATAAAGGCTGCACCCTCTGAGGTTCCTGTCCTCAGACCCGTTCCCTCGCTGTTCCGTTGGAGCAGATTGGCAATCATATTGGTGTGTCAGAGAAAATATATGTCACCAGGGCCAATGGAAGTGGACAGGGGTCTCGGCTCCCCTCACAGAGTGACTCCACTCTGCGCTCCAGAGGGGTAGCAATATTGTTCCCAACTCACCACAGGCCACGTGTAATCTTCTCAGGAGATTACAACTCTCCCCCTCCTTCACACAGAACTGCTCGCACTGCAGTATGATGGAATACAATGCCCTATCACTCACATTTCACTCTGACATTTTTCAACTGACATGGCTTGAGGGAACTTAATTTTTGCAAGGCTTCTCTTTAGTTTGTTTTTATTACATAAGCATATATCATAGTCACTGTAAGACAGGTCCACCTATTCATTTTATATTGTCCATCTTCGCTACAAAATAATGCCTTACCTACCTTGTGTATGGTAGAGTATGCGCACAAAAACATTCAGAACTAAAGGGAAGCTACACAGATACCCTGTTAAAAACCATATACTGTATATACAGTACCTATCATCTTAGACAGATTAATACTGATGGACATTTACTTACAGTTCAGATGGTTGTGTTGCTGCAAAGATTTGTAAAAAATGTGTAAGCATTTTGAAAGGTGAGGATAAATGTTGTACAAGCTGACAAACAAACAACATATGTCATGACCCCATGCTGGGAAACATCACTTATAACTGTTGACACACTGCCCTGTGGGCTATTCCCATGCCAAAGTACTCCGTCATTTGTGCTGCCTGCAAATGTAATGTCAGACCAAACCTCGGGCGAATCTTTTTGAAGGATGTCTGCCAGCTGTGTTGCACTCTACACTCTTTGCCTTGTGTTCATCATCTTCAAGGGACCTTAGGAATGTTATGAAAGCAACTCTTCTGTTGTTTTTCTGTTTTCTAATGAATGTGTGTTTACAGTGAAGAAAATGCAGTAGAATAACTACACAAAATATCTTCAATTCATTATTTCTAAAAATGTGTCATGATTGGTAATGAAAGCAGAGTTTCAAACTGAATAAACCATATTTTCTTTTTCCATACAGTATGCATGTGTCAATATCATATATGATCTACCTATTATATTTGTTACAGCCCGAGCGCTGACTCACCACATTCCCTACATCCAACAAATCAGAGATGGACTGGGTCTGAGCTCTAGGATGATTATCATAAATGAAAAATCACTTGCAGGGACTTTTAATATGCTGTAGGATGTTTCTCTCCGCTCCATAGCTTTTGCCTGTAGCTATATATCTGCTATCCAGCTGTGAGCTGCATCTGTCACTGGCTTTAGCACAGTATGCTGCTGTCTACAACTTCAGGGTATAAAATAAATCTATAGACTACAAAGACACCTATCAGGGGTGCTCTTTATTAGTTGACTTGTGCTTCATTAATAAACAAACACAGCAATGAAAGTGGAGCTCAGGAAAGATGAACCCAGCACATCAAAAAATAATAAAGGGTACTGTATGCCATCACTATGTCGTATTATGTGATACTGTGTGCTGTTCTTTTATATATGAAGCTGTGATTCACATGAAAATATGATCCTTTACTATCCGTATATTACCTGAGTAGGTCAGCTTCTCTCTTTCATGAGACCTTAACAGCCTTTCTCTATTTGCCATCACATGACCTAGAAACCATTCCTCTTCCTGCAGCTTTATTAGAAAATTGGCTCTCAGAATAAAAGTTATAAATCATATTTACCTTGTACTTATTCAAACTTTGCAGGCTCTACAATAAGTGTACTCAGATAAACCTGGAACTTGCACATGAAAATCCATCCGTCAGTGCAGCCTCTACAAATGAATCTGTTTGCTTGTGTCTCCTCCATAATACAGATGTATATCCAGACCACAACCCTGACCATCTCTGTCAGCCTCAGTGCGTCGGTCTCTCTAGGAATGCTCTACATGCCGAAGGTCTACGTCATTCTCTTCCACCCGGAGCAGAACGTACCCAAGCGCAAGCGCAGCCTGAAGGCTGTGGTCACTGCAGCCACCATGTCCAACAAGTTCAACCCCAAAGGAGGCCTGAGGCCCAACGGAGAGGCCAAATCCGAGCTCTGTGAAAGTCTTGAAACACAAGGTAGGTATCACCAAGAGACAAAAAAACATGTTCACTCAGCCTCGACCAGGATGATTTTATGCTGATGCAATGAGCTGCCTCTTTCTAAAATTAAAGCAGTGATAGAATACACATGGCTACTTGAAAATAATTAACTCCTTTTATGTGAACATAACTGATGCAAGTGTTGTTTTGCACTTCAGCAGTTCTGAAGAATTTGCAAGCCTTATGTGAGCATACAAGAAATGAGGTTTCCATGTCGGTGCAAACTAAAGTGGTGTTATATCATGCCTTCTTTTTGAATATGAGCCATAAACAGAACTTTATGAATAATAACAATGGTTAGGAGGAGTTTCAAATTAGCGTCTAGATAGCATAGCTTTTCAGCTTTCCCAATTCCCATTATTTAATGATTTCATTGACCAATCGATGGACAAAAACATGCTTATATCCTATACATAGCCTAGATTTTATTAATAAAATATTATTAAAATATATTCTTAGAATCAAACCATTGATATATATTTTTTATACTGTAAAGTACCAAGAAATGTTTTAGGAAGAAGTGACTTTTCTGTTTCACCAGGATAATTGTGTTTTTGACTACATGGTGAGTTCTCACCAACTCTGACCACACTGGATTTGTGAATCAGGAGGTGTGAGAGGCTCTCCAACCTACTCTGATTTTGAAAGGGTCTAAGCAAACGAGTAGCTCAGTGTTGGAGAAAAGGATATGTCAGTCACCAAGATAAAGTGTACGAGTAGTCCCTGTGTGGGGGCAGGCTTTAAATCTAGCAACCCCACATGTTCTGAATACCCAAGGTCCTGATGTTATACTCCGACAGGCTGAACAATGTGGAATTATATTTATTAGGACTCTAAAACCTGCGCCCACACTTGCATGAATGCCTTCTTTCGACCTCAGAATGGAGCCATTATCTCTGAACCTATTAGAGACCCATTTATAGGTGCTGATTCTCGCCCTCTGGTTTGAACTGTGATTCTAACAACTGCTCTTTGTGCTTATGCGTCAGACTGTGTTGAGGGAGGGCAGCCTTGTGAGGGACTATAGGCTCTCAGGTAACCCGATTAGATAATGACTTTACCCTTTTATTATCTGTGAACACTTTTTACCTGTTCATTTCTGCTAATGGTCACTCACCACAATACCCGTGCCTGCCTGTAACGCACAAAGCATCCCTGCTGCCCCCGACTAAAATGCAGCACCCTGAATGACACAAGGCAGTAATCACACCCTCGCAAATCCACCCTTGACCAACAAACATTAACTTGGTTAGACAACATTGGCGAGTGGTGCTGTAAAATGGCCAATCAGCATGGTAAAGCCTGTTAATGTGGGAAGATGACACCACTCTGCCTGAGTGCAGGAGACAAGCGATAGCCATGTGTCCCCTGTAATTTGTTTCCCTGTTGACAAAAGAAGGAATTTGTGATAATGGGACAACAACAACAATAAGAGAGAACAGGAAAAGACGGATGGGTCTGCCAAGCCCAATTCTTTCTGGACCATCTATTCTTTATCTTGGCCTTGCAGCACATAAATATTCAAATAAGGTTCATTTATCAATGCTTCTCTTGGAAGAGATGCTTTGGATGAAATGGCAAGAACGCCGCCCCCCATTCATACACCCAACGTAGCACTGACAAATATACAGAAACATTTACCATTACATCTCTCTCCTCTACAGCACTTTGGCCCCGACTCTGGCTTTTAGCTGTCTTCTGATTGGATCCATCCCCTCTGACATATTCAATCAGCCAAGCCTGCTGTGGGCAGATTGGCAGATTGGTAGTGTGATTACCACCACTCCAAGCATGCTCGCTGAGGACAGTTTTATTAAAAGAATGGCACACGTGTACACGATGACACTTGCACACAGACATACATGTATGTGCGCATAGGAGCATGACTGCACATACACAGGTACTTATAATGTATGACAGTCATGTTTCACCACAGGTCGGGCTTCTCACGGCGACTGTGGTCTGCCCTGCGGTCGCCTGTCTTATGTGTTTTATTCCCAGCCCATATAAAATGCCATGAATCATAAAAAAGTATGTTAAAGGATAATGAGAACTGTTATCAAACATTGATGAAAACACGTATAGTGCCAAGTCAGATTACATATTATCTAATTCGCCTTACAATTAAAAATGGTACTGTAATACACTGACTGACTGATGCATGTTTTGCTTGGTGCACAGAAAATAATTCAGGTCTTTGCATGTAGAGAAAGACTTGCATTTGAATGGTTACTATTGCATTTTATACCACTGCTGTGATCTGCCCTGTGGCGCTATATGTGATGCAATTTCTGATCAAATTGAATGATATTACAGCTGTGAAGAAAAACATAATGACAGAGGTTTCCTTGATTTCTGTCATGCTACAGTAATGGCAGGCACTTCGGTTGATATGGCCATTTCCAAAGCCTATTCAATCTGATTGCATCTACTTCACTGTCTTGACAAATATTTCATAGTGATATGCTGTTACAATGTCTGCAATGTGACGATTTACATTCACTTTAACAATAGTTTCCCCCCCCCATGCTACGAAGATGTGCAAATCCATTGTTGAATAGTATACGAGTTTATTGGAAGAAATTTAACACATAGCTTTTTTGATAATTGATTCAATGTTACAGGCCTTTTTTTAACCAACAATTGAATATGAAGAAGAATAAACTCTGAAGTTGTCATTTTAAATAATGATCAATTGTGCTGAAGTTTTTTAACTACTTATTGGCATTTCAAAGGTTAAACAACTATGATTAATTAAAGATATTGGCAGCTTAAACGGTTATTATTATTAACAGCCCTTATCTGTTTTTTGTATCACTGTAGCAGTTTGAATCAGTCCGTTTCTACTGCCTTCAGATATGTATATTACACATTTCTCTATGAATGCAATACAAAGATAGAAGAGACGTCATTCCTTAAAATACAGCTGTCACATCCCAACACCCTGCTATTATGATTGGTTCCACCTGCACTCATTAGATGAATACATCCTTAAATAGAACCCTCCATCAATCTAGACTCACACATGTGCACTGAGAGATTACCCTTTCACGCCTATTTACATCTCTCCTATTGCATTTTTAACTCTTTCCTCTCTTCTCCCACACCTTCACTTACAGCGCTGGCTTCCAAGCAGACATACATAAGCTACAGTAACCATGCCATCTAAGCCGGAAAAGGAACAGAGGAAGCGGAGCCAGGGCCAGCCTGAGGAGGAATCACCTGATTGTGGGGAATACTGGGGATATACTGGAGGACTTCCAAGCTGCTACAGCAGAGGAGGGCTGGGGTGGAAAGATGGGAATTTGTCACTCCATGAATAGAAAAGATGTCATATTTTTCGAGAGCATCAGGTAAAATGCTTGAATGCCAAATGGTTGAGAAATTAGGGGATTTACAGAGATGAGAGAGATGGGAGATGTTAGGGTGATTGGACAGTTAATTTTCCTCTTCCCACCCTTTCTCAAACACAAGTGAGCGTTGAACAGTGTGACGTTTCCAGATGCAGGCTAGGAGCAAACCACCTGGAGTCTACAGTATGTTTTCCTTCTGAAGTGTAAAGCACACAATTTCAGTTCAGATCTCTGAGGCTCAATCTTTTTGTCTCATTTTAACAAAGACGGGGAGAAAAAAGCGTTCTGTTTTAGCTCAAGTCAAATGCAGTCGACAAGATGAAACAGTAAAAAAATATAGTCATTATTTTGGTTACCGGTATTATTAAAGCTGCAGTACTCTTCAAATGGTACATGCCTTACTACAGTACATTCAGTATTCCTACATGATCTTATCTTATCTGAAACACCTGAAAATAAAGCAGTGGGTCATCCCAGTTTATCTTTTTTTTTTTAAATAAATGTTTCATAATGATGATGATGATGATGCTAACATCATCTTGGCAAACCTAGTGTACAGTCCCAGAGCATGCTTATGGGAGCATCACGTGTACTGTGCTGTGTTGTCAATGTCTTTGGAATGCAACATTTGTCATGGTTGTCATTCACAGTGGAGATGTCATTTTGGACCATTACCCACAACTGGGTTACCCTCCTCTGAATAAAGAATCATTTTTATGCATAAAAAGGAGTGAAGCTCAAAGCAAATTGCCATTAAATAATGTCATAGTTTACAGTACAATCCATAAACGTCAGCCAGTACTTCAAGACTTGTTGAAGCAAACATCCCAGCATCCCATAATTTATTGGCCTTTATTTATCACGCACTTGTTGAAGCCTTAGTAAAAAAAAATGTGAGCAGCTGGAAGATTGTGAGAAATTCATGTTTCCCCATTTGTTAAACTTACAGTCCAGCAGACATTAGATGTAATACTTCACCTAAAGGAACACTTCCTTCTTAAAATACTCACCTACTCGTGTTTCCATATTATGCTTCATTTTCTATGATTGTAATTTAGAGATATAGCATTTTTTTTTAATATAATTTGGTATTGCAGTGGAGCTAGAATATATACATCACTTGGTTTGTAAAGGAATCAGTCCCCAGATATATCATTTCTAAAGCGTGGTGTTATGATTATATAGGTTCCATAGTAGAGTATTACACGGGGACCTCCTATGATTTGTGATAAATGAACTTTTAATCTGTATTCTTTGCAAAGGATTGTTTTGCTTTTCTGGGTCATGAATTTTGAAGCTCCAGTGGGAATGAATAATAAGAGTTTTAATAGTATTTTGGGCACAAAATTAGCCTCACGCAGCTACTCAGCATGGAGACCCATTTGGAGAAGGTGTAAGCTCAGTCCCCTCTAACGGCATAAATGTTCAAAGGTAATTAGGTGGATGACAGGCATAGCATTTCCTAAGTAGTGCTGTACCTTTCAACAGACCCAATACAATCTCTGTAGAGCCAGCACTTTAGCTAGAGAAAAGTATTTTGGTTATTGCCGGACTACATATACATATGAATACATTCGAAACATAATTAAGCTAAAGTGGAATTTGTCTCCATGAACTTAAAATACTTTTTGAAAGCTTTGAGTTTTTAATGTATTTATCTTTTGATTTGTACACAGTTGCTGCTCATTCTTCTAGCATTAATTGATTTTTAAAGTGACAACCTCACATTTTAGAAGATTTAACTGCTCGATAAATAAGGGCCAACGCCTTCGTTCTGTGCCTCATACCCATTCAATTCCTCCTGCCATTCTTTCCACGGATCATGGTGTCGTTTGCTTTGCAACCGTCACCTTTCAAGTGGATTCTGTTCAAACATGAGGTGGAGAGGACTCAATGTACAATTTATATTTAAGTGTGTAAACTCCATTTCTGTCTGCAGTCTCTAAAGTATTTGTCATAAACAGTAACTCTGGAATTTGTCTCATTAATGTAATCCTCAGCGATGCAAAAATATGTATGTTGCATGTCAAATCTCATAAGAAGTCGTGTGAACAACTCGAGAGAAAAGGTGTAATGTCCAGAAGGAAAAACGACTGCAGAGGATTATAAATGTAACTAATATTTTTGGGTTAAATAATGATTCTCTCAGCTTCATCAAATGTCTGGGGTGTTGCTGCAAATGTTGTTTTTCTCATCAGTTGATAAAGTATTGTTTGTGGAATTGTTTGTGTTTTGTGAATATGATAATTTAATGCTCTTTTTTTGCCACAACCCCCCTCCCTCCCCTTTATTTTTCTAAAACACTTGTCTGTGTTACAAAATAGAATATGTAAGTGCTGACTGAAATTAAGTGGCAAGTTAATGTACGTTAGTAAAATGGATTGATCATGTCTGCTTTATGTACTGAATTATAAAAAAAAGAATTACAGTGCCTGGATATTTATGAATCATCTATAGAAAAAAAAAATGTAAATGTGTAGAGCATGTTCATTTTTATACAAGATATTTCTAATAAAAGACTGTTTTGCTAAAAAAAGTGTGGCTGCTTTATATTATTGAGTTGGTCTCAACAGCTATTCAATACAAAACACAGTATGATTCACCTTCAAAAGAGTGTTGCTATAAGTACAACCACAGTATCAACAATTATCGTCACTATTATTCAGGGAAATGTTGCAAAAATCAAGCAGCTCATAGATATAATATAGTATTTATTATTTGTTGTCCAAAAGATGTTGATACTAGACTATTGTAATGACAGTTCCTTGTTTAAGCCGGAGATATGGGAGTTTGTCCCAAGGCCTGCCACAGTATTTACACCCTCCACCTGAAGGAACGGACCCTTGTTTAGCTGCACGTGTGACTTCTAGGCGTATTATAGGGTGTCATCAAATGCTGTTGCCATGGCGACAGATCCCTCGCCATGAAACACGGTCTTCTCATAACTCCATTGAACATGCTCCAAACGGCCCAAAACTTCACAGGTTTGATAACGATGCAGCCCTCAACACATCTAGGCGTATTATGGGGTGTCATCAAATGCCATTGCCATGGCGACAGATCACTCGCTATCAAACACAATGTTTATTATACTGCTGTAACTCCTATGTACGTTGTCCAATCGGCCTGAAACTTCACACGTTTGCCAACGGCCGAGTCCGGAACACACCTGCGTGACACGTCGACGTGCGGACAACAGCCTGCGGAGCGTCGAAGACCCGCTCAACGCTGCTTGCAGCTTTAATTATTATTATTGTATATTATTATGTTTTTTATATATCTGAGACCTACTGTATGCTATTGCCTAAAAATAGCATGATAGGTGACCTTTAAAACGGCCTCTTATATTTTCCACTATCATAGCTGTCTCTAGGACCACATTTCACACACAGACTCACTATAGCTAAAAAAGGGTTGTGCCTGGTAAATATAACCGATGACCAGGAATCATCTAGGCATTTTGCTGCTCAGCGGGCAGAGAGAGAGAGAGGAAAACCGTTAGGCAGGGCTAGAACGTGTTGGCCACATGAAATAATCAGGTTTCCCAATTTCGTCATTTTACTGCTGAATCATAAAGTGTTGGGATCTGCCAGAGGAGAAGCTGTCAGGGGGGAATTGATTTCACCATTAGTGAAAAATACTAAATTGGAAAGAAACATGGGGAAGATCTCAAGGCCACCGTTGAGCTGCAACTTCTCTTTCAAAGTCGGGATTGAATGACAACTATGTACTAGAGTTTCTGCGGTAATCAGTGGAGCCACGACCTTAACCTCGGTTTGATGGTGGATCGATATGTTCAGCGACACCTGCAGCATAAGCCTTGAACAAATTGAGAAAATATCATACTATCAATAAAACTGACATATTTAAGAGCCACTCTTAATGAAAAGTAGAGCTGGTGAAACTATCTTTAGTGCATTTTACTGCAGGGTTGAAATTGCCATCTCGGTGATCACTGATACAGCATTATCATTAGCCTTGTGTCTTCTAAGTGAATCCCCTGCCCGGCACAATTAGCAACACAGCAGTATGTACACAATTGTATAGTCTATTAGTTGTGATATATAGTATACTTCCCCAGTAGGAAATGCACATTTTTCAAGGTCTAATAAAGTCTCTGCTCCCTTTGGCTTCACTCACCATTATACTGCAGAGCATTTTCCTTTTAATAGGAAAAGAAATATTCAAACTACAGGTGTTGCTCTTTTGTTCTGTGAAAGCAAAGATAGTTCTGTTTTTCTTAACAGTGTTCTCTCACTGTCGGACAGTATATTACCATAACTAATTATGTCAAGATTAATGAAAAGTGTATCCCTAATGTGCAGCACATAATGCAGTTTTGGTTCATGAATCCGCAAATCTTTAGACCTAAACACCTAGTTATAAGATACTTATTTTAAACATTAACTAGGGTCGGGGGGCGATTGGAGGAATATTTTCACTACCAGCAATCCTCAGAATACATTGCAAGTTGGGTTATTTGGATGGTTCTTTTCATTTTATTCAGCTCATTTTATGGTCTTCCTCCAAAGAGATAGTGTTATTAAACCAGCCTGTAATATTCTTGTCAAGACATGTCCAAGTGTCTGAAGGGAAATTTCATGTTAGGCCACCAAGACAAATTGAATTTGCCACATTGTATTCAGCCATTTTAATACTACACATCACTGCCGTAGCAAAGTCACTTTTGTCATGGCTGAGGTTGAACATTTCCACTGTCTGACAACCACTTAGCATTGGAGACATACATCTGTTAGAAACTGGAATGAGATCAGTTGTCAGTCATAATAAATTCAACCATTAGCAGATGCCTGCCTTCATCACTTGGTTTACTTTGAAGGCATTGAGGATGCTAGCAGACGGCTTTAACCGAGTGTGCAGAGACCATTGAAAAGGAATCAATCCTGGCAGAGAGAGGTCAGATGAAACATATTTCCGTAAACTTATGATGAACCCTTTTTTTGTCAGGGTTAGGGTTAGGGTTTAGGGTAAGAACTGACTTTATTGTCTCATAAGATTGGTACAGTATTCTAAAGGTTTTTGGACTTAGGGAAAATAAGTTTTGTAACAGAACGTAGAACATAACAATTATTACACATGAACCCCTAAGCCACTATGACACCCAATTAAGATTATTAAAAAGAGCATATGGGCAAAACAACTTTGCATATGATTAATTTGACAAACCACCAATACGAGTCTGCTGCTGAAGAGACTATAGTCTCATTGACCTCCTGACCGGAAACACAGACCTGATGTCAGGTGTAATTATAAAACAGACATCCTGATTTGAACTCAAAAACAGAGAAAAAAAGCAAAAAAAAAAAAGTAGAAGTCACACACACACATATGCTAATAGCTTTATCTAAGAAGTTGTTTCACTGGTGATATATTATTTCTCTCTCTGGGCTGAAAGGTGCCCTGTTTTCAAAAAGTAAACGCATTTACACTTAAATCTTGGCCTTTCTATCCACATTTCCTCGGAGATGGGTTTTGCACATGTTTGTCAGAGAGGCTTAAATCAGTTCAAGAAGAAGATGGTATATTTATAAGTTAGGGGAAAGGAAAAACCTTTTAAAAAGAAGAAATATGAGTCAGAGGGCATGAGTTTGTTATGAGGAAAGTATTACACATATATAATCCTTTAGTATACTGCTGTTTCCAGACCCGTTAACCCGAGCCACTGATTGTCTATCCTACTCGCACATTAAGTAATGGGATTCTCGATTCGATTTTCCTGTTCAATTTTCCTTGCATGGTTTTTAAGCCCAGGATGCAATATTCTCCTCATTTCCCACAAATTACCAAGAAGACGCCACATCTTTTGAACATTCCCCCAATAAATGTAATATCACCACCATGTCGAGTTGCCCATTGCGCAAATTAATAAGTACTGTTCGTGAAATCATTAAGGGAATACTTGCTGAAAATAAAAAGCTTTTTCTCATTTGAAATATCACTGTGATGTTTCCACGCTGCTGCTCTAACCAGCATGTGGGTATTTTATTTTGTCCCCAGGAGAAAAGCACTAAATGTGGCTGAGGTGTTCGTTTCTCTCTGAATGTGGTGAGGACAGTGTCCGGATGCAAAGTCGAGTGTATTGAACTTACCACTGCTGGATGTGGTGCATCATAAAGTAATAAGAACAGATTCTTCGGTTTAGCTCCGGCTCTTTTCACACCGCCCAGAGTCCGACTGGTGCTGCGTCATTGCGTCATCGTTTGCGTCATGACGTAACCATTTGCGTGCCTGCTTCATAAAGCCAAACCGTGCGGAAACCCCTCACAGCTCACACCGACAACAACAACAATGGCCGATTGTGGCCATACACTTCAGAAACTTGTTTTGTCTATATCTGAGACATATAATAAAGTAATGAAAAACAGTACAATAGGGGACCTTTAAGCTTCATATCCCAAAATACATCTGCATATCACGAGAAAATGCAGTTATGACTACTTTGCCAGGTGTCTGTGCAAAGATTTGGTCAACACCATAGTGACACTACTTCAGGATCTTCACAGCTGTCTATTTAACATTCAAATAAAAGCAGAGTTTGGAGATGGGTGTGATCAGAGCAGAAGTAAGGATGTAGGAACTATTGGTCTCTGGCCCAATTTGGCGTAGAGGATAGTTTTCTTTAATGTATTTGTTTGCATTGTATTTTAAATGAAATGCCTGTATCATAATAAATTAATACTTCAACCTTTCCCTTGTAGCACATTTAATCAAAGGCACAAGCTATATCCTGTGTTGTCACCCATGACAGCCTGTAGCAAGAGTTTTATTTAGACCTCTTTTCACTTAATAATCTCTCCTCTAGTGTCTTCTGAAGGAATGGCACACTGTCTTGACTGTTTCCTTTCTCCAGTAATGAAGAGAGTTCTCTGAAGGGAAAGTAGCATTGAACTGGAAGATATAACAAAATGTCAAACGCCTATAAGGTTATCCTTTGACCCTGGCTGTGAGTGTACAGTAGACCTCATTATAAAGCCAGCACATAAAGGATTCTGGTAGTTAAGCACTGTGGTGGTAAGTGCTGCAAATGTCCGTCATTAAATCCTATATTTTCCTCACCACAGGAACAATTACAACTGCACACAGTTTCAAAGGTTATCCATCGCCCAAAGTGCACTAAAGATATTTCCAAACTCCAGAAGGGCTGCTTCAATCATCAACCATCCAAGATTTAAAGAAAATAAAGTTTCGTATGAAATATATTGTAGTTAGTTGTAAAACCAACCAATAAGTGTGTTTTAAGGAGAGCTGGATATGTCTAACAAGCTTTCTGTCGCAAAGGCTCATCAATCCAATTAATGTTTGTCGTGTTTCACTAGTTTTCTTTTTATTGATGTGCACTCAAAAAAATAACTCATTGGATGAACTCAATTCAATTGTGGGCAGGATTTCCATCCAATAAATATGCGTAGCCCCAACTGAAACTAAGAACATCCATTTAATAAAATTGAATTGAGTTAGTCCAACTCATTTTTATCAAATACAGCTGAAATAAAATTATCACGTTACGTAAATTAAATGAATTTACATTTGTCCAACTCAAACTAATATAATTAATTGGTAAAGAAATAACGTACAATTATTATTTTTTTCACTTTATCCCCCATTAAGACACTCATGAGACAAAACCTGGTTGAGATATTTGTATTGAAAATTCTCAGATAACAATTACACCTTGAGGTGGATAGCCAATCCTCACCTTTACTTGTGTAAACAGAGTGTCACAGCTCTCTGTCAGAGTTATTTGTGTCTGCATTTCTTTTTTTATAAAACATATCAATAAACAGACTGAGCAGGAGATAAAAGCAACTCAGAAAAATAATAATAACACCAATCATGGATGAGGAAGGTGACAGTAATCCTCAATTCAACATCAATATTTATATACACAGCTCAATATTAACTTTACTTGAATACACAGAGCAAGATGTACAAATGTTTTTTTTAAAGAACAATTTAAGAGTGGTGAAAAGTGAACACCCAGCTTTCTAGATCTCCCAGTGCCACAAACAACAAAGACACTATTAAAAGTGGAGGCTTTGCACTGCTCTCCAAACAGGGAATATCATTGGGTGGTTTTTATAAAGAGTGCACTGCACAAACCCTACAGTATATTTGGTAATTGAATAAGTGTAGTGTAGCCATTTGCTTTGAACCTACAATTACAAAAAAAGCAAAATATTTGTTAAGGAAACTTGACAATACACTTGTTCACATGTTGTTCACCTCTTATGCAAACAGCTTGATTTTCAGCTGCTGTATTTTTGCATTCAGCTTGTGCCCATCCAAGTTCATTACGACCTTCTGTAGAAACTCGAAGGTGTACTTCAGGTTGTCCGGGAAGCTGAGATCAAGGGCATACATGAGCCCCAAGAGCATGATGAGTCCCACAATGACGCTGCCTACGTTTTCCATGACTTTAATGCCTTCGATAACAATTCCCACGTCCTCTGGCCCCCCATCCCCGTTTCTTCGGATCGTGTAAATCCCCATGACTGTGTTGGAAATGTCCCTCTCTGCATCGTCAGCGCGGAGGCCTGAAAAACAACACAAACACACAACACTTATGTTAAGTAAAAAGCTGAACCCCACAAACAGAAAACTGTATGAAAATATAAATAAGCATTCTTAAACCATCTACTGCAGTTTAGAGAAGCAGATTTGCTTCTGTCTGGCTCGCCTAATTGACCAATACTGCTTTAAACTGAGATAAGGACCTCCAACCTTATCAACATACAGAGCCTAAAATACAGAAATAAATAGTTGTACAAAAATGTAGAAATAAATTAAATCTAAAAAAGATAGTTATCCAAGTATGTCCTGTTTGCTTATCAACTTTTACTTATTTATTCATACATTTACCTATTTATTATTTTATTCATGTATTTATTTATTTCAGAATCTATTTATAATTTTATTTATTTATTCCTGTAATAATTTAAACATGTATTTCTGTATTTATTAATCCATTTACCTACTTATCATTATATGTATTTCAACATTTATTTATTCGAGAATTTATTTATTTCAGCATTTATTTATTTATTTCTGTATTAATTGATACTTTATTTATTGCCTTATTTATTTATGCATTTACCTACTTATTTCTACATTTATTTATGCTTAAATGTATTTATTTCAGCATTTATTTATTATTTTATTTATTTATTTATGTATATAATTATTCATCCCTTAATTAATGTATACATTTATTTATTCATTAATATCTATATTTATTTATTTATTTCCTTATTTATTTTTACATTTATTTATTTATTGATACTTAAGTAATACACGCAAGTGAGAAGTTGACATTATAGACACCTAGCCTTGGGTATGGATATAATATATATGTATATATAATATATGCCATGGTATTAATAAGTTAGGGTAACACTGTTTAACGCTACATGGGAAAAATATTGTATAAACTTACCAGATACTCCTTGAAGAACCAGTCTGGATCTTCCTTTAGGTATATCACAAGGCTTCTCAGGATGCACTCCCTCCTGGTGTTGATGTTGTCACACTAAAGCAGGGTCGACAAATCAAGACAGAATTTAGTTAATGTGGGTGCGACAGAGCGGTTGTCTGAAGACCAGAAAGGTTGTATCAGTCGAAATGTCCCTAAGCAGGACATGGTATCTGAAGAAAAATGCATTTGTACTAACCGAATCTGTGATTGCAAGGGCTTCCTTTATCTTTTTCCCCTTCACTCCTCCTTTGCTGGTGAAGATTTGTAGCAGCTTGTCGGAAAAGTGGTCCAGCTGATACATGAACTTCGATTGCAGTGGCTTGGTGGTGATGCGCAAGAACTCTGCATTCACCTTAAAAATATTATTGACAAACAGAATACAACAATGTGTTACTTGTTTATCAGAATTACTACCAAATTGGGATGTAGGATAATTGGCAAATTCAAATTGCGATTGTGGAGCTATTAATCATTATGGACAATAATAAAAACGGTCAACACATACAAACATACACATTTATACTATAATTATGCTAGGTGTTTATGTTGTTAAATTAAGCATATAGTTCCACTGTAATTACCTAAGAACATACCGCATCTCTGTAGTAATGACACCATTTGAATTGGATCAGGTCAGTTTTTGTTTGTGTTGAACAGTTTCAGAGAAATAGCGTAACTGTAACCATAGTAACTCAATCTCACTCGTGCCTGTGTTCGCACAGCGCCAGAGGGGGAGACGCGGTGCTGAGACCCCGCTGAGTGAACAGCGAAGGAATAAATTACAATATAATAGATTGGTGTAGATTTCCCACTTTCCCCCTGATGATCGCTCGTCGCTTTTTAGAAATAAAGTCGCTAAGAGGGTCTGAAAAGCTAGTAAGTCCAGCGAGAAAGCAAGCAGTGTGCGTGTGCTTCAGTGGGTAGAGTAACTGTGGGTCTGCCGTAACTTTAAAGTAATTTGGAGGGGGGGGGGGGGGGCTCTGCCGCTGCAGGGGGGACGCGCATGCTGCAGGACTTCCGCCCCGTGTAGTGGGTGTCTGCAGGATCAGTATGAAATACATCATTCAATGTTCTTCGGAGGCCGTATTTTATATTTATGACTTTGTTATACTGCTGCTACTCCAGTTAACTTCCAGAAACGTACTACGGCTCGCTCAACTTCCCTCTCACTCGCTCTACACATGCACGCGCCACACACGTATTCCCCCGTCTCTGTCTTAAACGGACAAGGCTGACCCAGTCAGCATAAATGCTACTATTACATTTTACATAGTAAAACATCGCATGCATCCCTAGTTAGTTTGAATATTAACATTACAACAGAGATGGGGGGGGTACTAAAACCGTGTTTAATAACAGTAGCACACGGTTTAACACGTTAAACCGTGTGCTACTGTTATTAACATTTTCACAGAACAGAAGACACACTGGAGCCCGCTGCACTGTACGCTGTAAATACTTCTGTATAAATTAGCTCCTGCCTCTTTAGCTTTATTACAAGTTGGAGTTCTGCGTTAGCTTTAGCATTAGCCGTTGTGTTAAGTGTGGAGACGATATAGGGGGCTGCGGTAGAATCACCCAAATCTAACCAATTCAAAGTGATGACTCTTTTTCTAAAGGTTTACCTCAAGTACGAGCAAAAAGTATGCAGCATTAAAACTACTCTGAGAAGTCAAATGGAATCAAAAAAGTAACTTAGGCCTACGTTTCTGCACAATTGTGGGTGCCTGCTTGTGAGTGAGGTTACCCATAAAAGATTCAGCACATATATTATCTCATTATTTATATTAAATATTTGGCAGTAAAAAAAAGACCAGTGCCTAAACTCAACTGAACTCCTACAGAAACGAGTGGCTTCACCTGTCCTCCTCTGCCTGCCTGCACTAAGGCCAGGAGAGGTGGACAGACCTGCAGAGCTTTATGATAGAAAATGGCGGCGCTTGCAGGGGCATGCATGCTCTGCCCCCTATACTGTTACCTCATGCACTTTAATTACTCTTTGCATTTTTTTGGTTGGATATAAACTGAATTTTGGTGTAGGCCTACTGTGTTCAATGACAATAACATTAAATCTAATATAATACAATCTACTGATCTCCATTATCCAGCAGGTATTCAATGCTACCCACATGTAGCAAGCTAGCTTCTAGCTACCAGTTATCTGGCTAGCTATAGCTAGCTTGCCATTTAGACCCAACTAAAAAGCTAAATATAACACGGTGGTTTCAAATATTCTTGTTGATATTATGAAAAGGCATTACTTGGAAACAGGGTACGTTCTAAACTACTACACACTACTAAAAGAAATACTTACCAAAGAATAGACTTTCCACAGTCAGTTTCCACAGTCAGTGTCAGACAAAAGGCGGTAAAAGACAGAACGGATGTTGCGCATGTGCAAAGGGGATGTGCAAAGGGGCGGTCCCCAGATGAAAACAATTCATTTTGAGTTGATCTGTCCTAAATACATTTAATAAGTGAATTGATTAATGTAATTTGTGTTACACTAATGAACTATACTTAGGTTTATTTCTTAAATAAAAATATTGAATAAAGCGAACATGTGTTTATTGTGTCAAGTCTAAGAAGGGCTTGAATCGTTTTTAGTGTGTTTGTTTTTGTACAACAGAGAAAGGCTTGCTTAAAACTTCATCAAATACTCAAAAATGTGTTGAATTGAGTTTAAATCCAATCCGCTTTTTTCATGAACATGTAGAATAATTGTCATTAAACATTTTCTATACGAGCGATACTTCTCATGGTGAAGTGCCCATTTGTTCAGTATTTATAATGAGAGGAAAAAACAGATGAAATAGGACTCGGGATATGAAGTAAGCCAAATATCCCAATCATTTTGACCAAACACCATGATATGGATTATATTGTAGGATTGACCAACTGTTTGTTCCCAAAATATTTAAAACAAGAATGAGAATTTGAATGAATAGTCATCAGTCATGTAGCAAAGGTCACTTATTATGCAAAATCCACCTTTTCATGTCTATTATACATAAATATGTGTCGCCTCTGCGTAAAGAGTTTCGGAAAGTTTCGGGAAGGTAGATTCTCTTCTTTTTTGTCTGAGAATGAGCTGATCAGATTTTGGCCACTTTATGATGTCATAACGTTCTTTTGGGCCAATTAACAACCAAGGAAACAGGGCTGAAACAGAACGGTTTATGGGATGCTACAATGCATGATCTGTTTGGTATTTCCAGCCCAACACTTCAGACATGTTTTGTATATATCTGAGACCCATAATATATTGTTGCAAAAGAGTATAATAGGGGACCTTTAAATGACTGATAGTAAAGACAAATAACAGAAAAGCTACAAGTCTGGTAAAGGCAGAAAATTATCTTTAAAAAAAACATCACTACTCTAATGCAGCTTTTAAAAACAGGGAAAGACAACACCTATATAAAGTATTCCCGGAATATAAGATGTCTCATATAATGATGTTCATATAATATCGATATAGTTTATACCCCTACGTTGAATGTTTTATTATTCCAAAGGGACAGCACAAAGTGACATTATGGTATTTTTTGTGATTTTGGTTGAGAGCAAAAGTAGAGGGAACAAAACATTAACGTTATAATATTCACAAAGATGAGCTCAAGCAGTTTGTCATGAAGGAAAGGCATTAACAGTTTCTGCATGATGCATTATGCTTCCCCCAGGAAGAAGAGCTCAATTTGTTTGAATAAGAGCATCAGCCTGCTTCTTTATCAAATATGTTGAAGGGTTTGTGTACAAGATGAGATGACAGGTGATATTTCAGCAGACATTATATGTGTACAGCCACTTCATTGAGATTATTCCCAACAAGTTGAAGAGTTTATGCACATGCTCCATCAAGCAATCATATGGCAATAGTGTCCACACCGGAATCTGATCATTGAAATTCAAATGAGCACATATCTAGTACAAACATTTAAATCGCCCAGGAAGAAACTCATTATGAATAATAGCAGCCTGTCCTGAACATCAAATAATCCTAACAAACTACGAGACAGCGTAATGGAGCCCTATTGAGGAGAGATAAATATTCCATCAGCAAGACTCCCTCTTTAAAATTGGAGAGGAACATGGCGTACAAGCTAACAACCAACAAACACACAAAGCCCCTAACCCGTCTTAAAAGGGTGAAATTACACCAGCAGTGTGTGTGATGATATGATCTTGTTGTAAAACATGAATACATTATTTGCTGTTGGAAATTCTCCAAACTGAACCTTTTAGCAATTGGCAAACGTTTAAAATTAAAAGCCGACAAGAATATAAATCTGACTTCACTACAACCACTGTAGCCAATCAAGTGCATTTACTCAAATATACGTTATTTAAGGTACTTGTGGTTTACTTAATTCTGTCTAATCTAATGCTACTTTATAATTCAAACTTAATACTTTTTGGTTTTTGACACATTGATTCCATGATATAATTTATTTTGAAGATGAGGATTTTACACACCAGACATGTGATCCACTTAATACAATTATTAATTTACACAGGTTAGACAAACCAACAGTATATACATATTTTGGGGGTTATATACCAACCTTATTGGCACGACAGCTCAACTAATATTAATATTATTATTTAAAAAGAAGCAGTCTGGGCCACTGCATGTCATCCAATTTCTCTCCCCCTTTCCCTCTATGGCTGTTCTATCATTAAAGGCATGACGCTCAAAATAAACTTAAAAACAATGTAATTATACAAATATATAGAAAATGAATAGTAGCACAACACCAACAGTGTAAACATTTGCTGCACCATGAGTTGTTTTATTTGTTCTGAGGGCATTTGCCTATAATACTTTTATATATTATTAGCTAAGCTTTTAGATGCAGGACTTTTACTTTAAAGGTAGGGTAGGTAAGTTTGAGAAACCGGCTCGAGATCGCTAGAATTTGAAAATACACAACCGGAGAAAATCTGCCACTTCCTCATAGAGCCCCTCCTCCAACACACACGAACGCGCACATGACCAATGAGGGCACGAGATAAGTTTGTGCACAGATGGAAGGCTGACAGGCAGGTCGGCCATCCAGTTATTTTAGCCGGGCCGGCTAAAATGATTGGTCGTGCTTTTTACAGTATTACGGCTTCCACAGATGACATTTTTTTATGGATTTTTTGTCAAAGCACTTAAGATATTTATTGCTATCGGGATGTTAAGAGCATTCCATGGAATATAACAAAAAGTGTATCTCGAGCCGGTTTCTCAAACTTACCTACCCTACCTTTAATGTCATGTTTTTTTTAGTATTTACTTAAGCAAAGAACCATAATTTAAGTACTTCCTCTGACAATGTTGTGCAGAATAGAGACACAAACCTCATTCCAACACAGTATGACTCACATGTCAGAGAATGTACATTACCATCACTCACTGCACAATGATAACAGCATGCCCACACTGACACGGTGACTTAATGGACCATATCACAGGATGAAACCCCTCATTTATCTCCATGTTCAGTGTGTGTGTGTGTGTGTGTGTGTGTGTGTGTGTGTGTGTGTGTGTGTGTGTGTGTGTGTGTGTGTGTGTGTGTGTGTGTGTGTGTGTGAGCTACTGGTGGTGCATGTGTGTATGCCAGGTGGATGTAAAGCTGGGTTATAGACACAGAGTCTGTGCTTGTGGATTTAAGGAAGTCTGTAGTCTGTGAGGAGATGTCAATCAAACGTGAACATGTCCTGACAGGAATGAAGTAATATTGTCGCTGCTATTTTTAACTCGTCTCCGCAGCTGTTTGTGCCGTCTTTTCCTGTCCTTCCCCATGCTCTGTTTGCATATCATTATCTAACTAAAAACATCCACATAGAAGCTTTAACCGAAAATAATGTGTACATTTTAACACTAAATGATTAGCATTTATCACATCTACATGTCACACAGGTGCTGGCGACAAATCACAAATGTGTGTGTGTGTGTGTATATGTGTATGTATGTATGTATGTATGTATGTATGTATGTATGTGTGTGTGTGTGTGTGTGTGTGTGTGTGTGTGTGTGTGTGTGTATAGTTGCTGCTAGCCCGGTGACATTATTACAGCTCATGATTTAGGAATGTCAAGGCTCCATGCCATTACTCTTCTCGTACAGACCAGATTTTCGTGTGCGTTGCTCTGTTTCACCTGCCCCACACTAGGTATTTACGTGTTCAGTTAGCTGTGCTACTGAAGGGGCCGGCCCATATGTCTCCCCGAAACCTCTGAATAATTTAGCCCGACAGCCAGTCCTATAAAAACCCCATCTATATTAATGAGCAGCCTCCAACCATTTGGATCTCTGCATGGAGGTTGTGGTCCCTCCATCATGCGTGAGGTGTCGTAGAAGGCCCACCTTCACCCAGATATATCAAGCAAAGAACGGATACAGCAAGAAAAACTGTTCAAATCACACCGCCTCCTATTCATCAACAAGCTTCTCTTTCATTTGTTGTGGAAGACACACAGATCCTCTCCGCACAGTTCAAGCCGTTGTGAGGCAGACATTTTAGATCCTTCATCAAAAAGGTTCGGTTCGATCCCGTTCTTCAACAGCATGAAAGAAAAGTTCAACCATGTGGAAATTAGGTTTACTGTCATGAGGTTGAGTAGCACTTTCTGTGAGATCTGACAAGAAATCTAATAACGTGTGTTGCCCAAAAAAGAGAAAATAAATGAAATGGTCAGAGTTCCTGTGGTACTGATCGGAATGATCAGTGGGGTTTAATAATTGTACTTTTTTATTTGGGGAATGTTTCTGCGCTTGTTGAAAATGAAAAAAAAAGTGATGTAATCTTTAAAATTTGAAAGAAATCCCGTAATTACTTTAAGAGTCATATTTGATTCCCATTTTGGTCTTAATTTTCTATTATGTGAAACATTACCTAAGCTATCCTCATTGCGAAACACCCTAATTTATTGTAAACTTCAGTGAAATGGGGAGATAAAACCTGAGT